AAACTCGTTTTATGTTGCTGCGTAGCAGAGGTCTTTTATTTTCCACTTTTTAATGTACCTAAAAAGCATGAACCCTGCATTTCAATGGACTGTATCATATGCTTTTTTGCTAAAAAACTTTTTCATCAAACACAATTACATTGTTCAGTTTTGTTGTAAACTTAACATAAGATGCACTGTTGATTTGCTTTCTGATATATTTGAGAAGAGTGATAAAATAAAGCTTACAAACTGAAAAAGAATTAAAAGTAAGCAGATACTTAGCATCTGACATAGAAACCTACTCCTAGAAATTTGCCTAAAGGAAAATGAGACATGTATATACACACAAAAACCTGTACACAGATGTTTGTGAAGGCTTTATTCATAATTTCTAAAAAATTGAAAACAACCCAAATACTCATTAACTAGTGAATAGATAAATAAATGGCTAAGCTATGATACATCCACACAATGAAATATCACTCAGCAAGAAAAAGAAAAAGCAGCAACATGGATGAATCTCAAATACATTATGATTCATCGAAAGAAACCAAACTCAAATGGCTACATACTATGTGATTCCATTTATATGACACTCTAGAAAGGCAAAACTGAGATGGAAATCAGATAAACACAGGTAAGGGTTCGTCAACCAACAGGGCTGGAATTGGGGAAAGTGAATGGACTACCAAGAAGGGGAGCTGTTTGGAATGATGGGAATGTTCTGTATTTTGACTGTGACAGTAGTATCCAACCATATCCATTTGTCAATATTCATAGAACTGTACACTAGAAAAGGGTGAATGTTCCTGTATGTAGAAAATACCTTAATAAACCTGATAAAGAAATCGAAGTATTTATGAGGTCTTTTTTCTATGAGTACTTGAGCAAGCAGATTGTTAGCTTGCTGCTTTGAGAATCAGGAGCAAACCCATGCTTTACCAAGGGACTAAAGATACTCGTGAGACTCACTCTCCTACTTATCATTCCCACTGTTCTTTTTCTTTAAATGCTTACCCTGATAAACTGGTAATGAAGAACTTAAACATTCGTAATCTCTTCAAAAAATTAATGAAAAGATAGAAAGATATGTTGTAGGCTTTTGAGTTTCATGTGGCGAGGTCTTTACTTTTAGCAAAAACCATTTATTAAGTAATATCTGCCATTTAGCACTGGGTAAGACATTGTGTTCTTAGCACGTCAGGCAGGGCTAGTAGACGCAGCACAAGCCTCGTTTGCTACCTCAAGGAGTTGCCATGAGAATCAGTAAAGGGTGTGTTTGTGTAAGCACTGTGTAAATTGCTAAATAAATGCAGGTAGTTTCATTGCCAAATATTTAAAAACCTAGGTATAACAATAAAATGAACGTATGGTTATTACAATAGAAATCTAAGCCGATCCTCTGATGGCTTCCTCTGGTGATTCCCATTTCCTGGAGTCTCTCTAAAACATAGTTACAGTACAAATGAATTGTATATATTTTGAATCTATTTAATTCCTCTTCTTTCAGTTGAGGAGATGGAGTTGGAGGGGTAGGCAGTTTTCATATCATGTAGAGCCTTTCACACCTTCAAGATATTTTGTATTTTTCTTTAGCAGTGCTTATCATGATTAAGTAACTCTTTGTATGGTCATTAAATGAATGTTTGTCTTGATAGACTAAGTTCTGTGTGTTTAGGAGCCACACTGCCATCACCTGCAGTACAGTGTTTATATAAATAAATGGAGCTTATGGCAATTTCTTAAGTTTCTTAAGTTTGAAACCATTTTGTCTGAAAATTTGTTTAATATAGTAGGTGTCAGAGAATATCATTTCTTAAAAATGTTAGTCATTTGCACAAAAGGTCCCCATCCCTTAAGAGAGAATGACACGTAAGAGGCTGAATTAATTAGGAGATCATCTTTATTTGTTGGCTACAAATGTAGGGATTTTTGTCTGGATTTGTTCACGGATTTATTCCTAGAAACAGGAATAGTGCCTGTTACAGAAATATATATTGAATCAATGAATCAATAAAAGTGCATGACATTCACAACTCAGTAATAAGAAAACAAATAACCTAATTAAAAAATAAGCAAAAGATTTGACCAGCCACTTCAGCAAAATAGATATAGGATGGCAAAAAACACACGTGAAAAGGTGCTTAATATCATTAGTCATTAGGAAAATGAAATTTAAAACCACAATGAGATACTGCTACACATCTGTTAGAATGGCTAAAATAAAAATAGCTGACAAAACCAAGTGTTGGTGAAGTTGTAAAACAACTAAAACTCTCATATGTTGCTGGTGGTACAGCCCACTTTGGAAATCAGTTTGCCAAATTCTTATAAAATTAAACATGCACTTAAACTAAATACTGCATGTTCTCACTTACAAGTGGGAGCTAAATGATGGGAACACATGGACACAAAGAGGGGAACGGCCGATATTGGAGCTTACTTGAGGGTGGAGGGTAGGAGGAAGAAGAGGATCAGAAAAAATAACTAGTAGGTACTAAACGTAGTACCTGGGTGACAAAATATTCTGTACCACAAATCCCCATGACATGAGTTTACCTATATAACAAACCTGCACATGTACCTCTAAACCTAAAATAAAAATTAAAAAAGTAACTAAATGGGACTATAAATGTAGATGTGGATCAGTACCAAGAAGTTTTTTTTTTTTTCCACAAACCCCTAAGTGTCTGATTTCCACTCAAGTCTTTTAAACTCGTTTTATGTTGCTGCGTAGCAGAGGTCTTTTATTTTCCACTTTTTAATGTACCTAAAAAGCATGAACCCTGCATTTCAATGGACTGTATCATATGCTTTTTTGCTAAAAAACTTTTTCATCAAACACAATTACATTGTTCAGTTTTGTTGTAAACTTAACATAAGATGCACTGTTGATTTGCTTTCTGATATATTTGAGAAGAGTGATAAAATAAAGCTTACAAACTGAAAAAGAATTAAAAGTAAGCAGATACTTAGCATCTGACATAGAAACCTACTCCTAGAAATTTGCCTAAAGGAAAATGAGACATGTATATACACACAAAAACCTGTACACAGATGTTTGTGAAGGCTTTATTCATAATTTCTAAAAAATTGAAAACAACCCAAATACTCATTAACTAGTGAATAGATAAATAAATGGCTAAGCTATGATACATCCACACAATGAAATATCACTCAGCAAGAAAAAGAAAAAGCAGCAACATGGATGAATCTCAAATACATTATGATTCATCGAAAGAAACCAAACTCAAATGGCTACATACTATGTGATTCCATTTATATGACACTCTAGAAAGGCAAAACTGAGATGGAAATCAGATAAACACAGGTAAGGGTTCGTCAACCAACAGGGCTGGAATTGGGGAAAGTGAATGGACTACCAAGAAGGGGAGCTGTTTGGAATGATGGGAATGTTCTGTATTTTGACTGTGACAGTAGTATCCAACCATATCCATTTGTCAATATTCATAGAACTGTACACTAGAAAAGGGTGAATGTTCCTGTATGTAGAAAATACCTTAATAAACCTGATAAAGAAATCGAAGTATTTATGAGGTCTTTTTTCTATGAGTACTTGAGCAAGCAGATTGTTAGCTTGCTGCTTTGAGAATCAGGAGCAAACCCATGCTTTACCAAGGGACTAAAGATACTCGTGAGACTCACTCTCCTACTTATCATTCCCACTGTTCTTTTTCTTTAAATGCTTACCCTGATAAACTGGTAATGAAGAACTTAAACATTCGTAATCTCTTCAAAAAATTAATGAAAAGATAGAAAGATATGTTGTAGGCTTTTGAGTTTCATGTGGCGAGGTCTTTACTTTTAGCAAAAACCATTTATTAAGTAATATCTGCCATTTAGCACTGGGTAAGACATTGTGTTCTTAGCACGTGAGGCAGGGCTAGTAGACGCAGCACAAGCCTCGTTTGCTACCTCAAGGAGTTGCCATGAGAATCAGTAAAGGGTGTGTTTGTGTAGGCACTGTGTAAATTGCTAAATAAATGCAGGTAGTTTCATTGCCAAATATTTAAAAACCTAGGTATAACAAGCAAATAAACTTGGATTTCAGTATCAAAGAACAACCCACAAACATGGCGTGGGTGAAACATAGGAATGAATTACTTGGCTTACATCTATGTTTGGCCCCAGTGCCTTCTTGCCTGGTGGGGAGAATCTGGTGTCCAGGAGCTTTGCACATAGCATGGAGGAATGGCAGGAATGAAATTTCATAGACTGGAGAGTGGGAGGAGACTCAGTGGAAAGACTGCTACCGGCAAAACTTGGAGTTAGGGGCTCTGAAGGAGTGAATCCTCAACAGTTTGTGTGTTTGTAGATGTACATGTGTTTTGTACAGTCTCTGTCCTTTTATGAAGTGGACTCTCTTGTTCTAAATGTAGGTGACCATTGTAGCAAATGTGCTGTTACCCACACCAAACTTTTCTTCTGATACCTCCTCTTCCAGTGGTTTTGCCGCCCTAGTTCTTGATACATTTTTGTTCCGTGTAACTGCTTTTATCCTCATGAATATTGTCATGAACTCACTGATATCAGTGGTAAAGTTTTAGGTACAGTCATAACCTATTTCTCATCTTCTTTTATGTATATACACACACAATTAGAAATCATACCTTTTTCCCTCTTAGATTGCTATGTCATATGTCATAAAGAGGTACTCCAAGTTGAGCTCAACAAATATTTATTTATATGACTTTATTTGAAAACTTATTTACAGAGTATTACATAATGATAAAATGAATTCTACTAGCAATATGACCTTGACCAGATCCTTAACTAACATCCCGGTTTCTTTACTTGCAAAATGCAAGTATTAATAATAGTACCAATATTGCTCTTTTCACTATATAGTTGTAAGAATCACAATAGCTTAGGAAAGCTTGTAGTCAACTCTGATGTTCTGCCCAAATACAAGACAGTGGTATTATTAATGGAATCCTTCTCATTATTTGTACTATTCCCAGAAAGGGGTACACTGATAAATTCTTATGTTTTTCCAGGGAGAGTCACACCAGGACAGCTCATGTCCTATATTCAGCTCTTCAAGAACAACCTCAAAGCTCTAATGAATCACTGTGGGCTCCTCCAGCTTGGGCTGGCCACAGCTCAAACGTTGAAACACCCACAGACTGCCAAGTGGGACAACTTTCTCGCTTTTGAAAGACTCCTGCTTCAGGTATGTTGCTGTGGGTACTTCGTGGGATCTTAATAATTAATGTTTCGATTTCCAGGGAAAAACTTTGACATTTATTATAGCCTTAGTAATAAATCATATTGTTGACATGTGCCCTGCTTCATATTCTCTAAGTGCCCCCGAGTTAAAGTTCAAGTAGAAACTTTTTTCACACCTGTTTAAAAAAATATTTTGACAGTAATGTCTTTGGCTTCTCATTCAATACTAAGGATGATTTTTGAGCATTGAACTAACCTCTGGAAACCTCTTTCAATTTTATGCCATTTGGACCTTTCTCGCTCTTCATGGTGTCTTTATTTGATCCTTGCTACTTTTTCTGTAACATATTACTACTATTCACATTTCCTCTGACATTACCTAGTTTCGAGTCCTTAAGCAACACATAGTATGTGCCTTAAAATGGCGTTTAGTAAAATGTGAAGGAAGTGATCTCCATTTGTAGTGTTTATACAGATATTTGTATGTGAGATAGGAACTTTTCATGACTGATGAAATATTTTCATGGGAACTTTTCAAAAAATATGCAGTATGTATTTTTTAAAATTATAAAGTAGTTTTTAAAATTATACAGTACTTTAAAAAGGGATAGAGGATTATAAAGCATAAATGTACTAAAACGACGAGTATCTATAAACTTTCCACATAGACTCAATATGATTTATCATTATTTTCATATCTATCATGGATCCTTTTTCATTAAAGAAATAAAACTAGAGATAAAGTTGAAGCATTCTTGATACTATATAACCATCTCTAATTTGATTTTCCTTTTTCTTTCCCTAGAGATAATTACAAGCTCAATTCGTTGTTTTTACATTTTTATTAAATATTTACTTTTTCATAAATAATATAGAGCATTTATGCTATAGGTTTTAATTTTACATAAGTGATGTTATACTATAAATATTCCTAAATAGCTTGCTTTTTTCTCTCAAGGTTCTATTTTTAAGATAATCCAAAGTGATGGGCTAGGTGCAGTGGCTCACGCCTATAATCCCAGCACTTTGGGAGGCCGAGATGGGAGGATCACTTGAGGTCAGGAGTTCGAGACCAGCCTGGCCAACATGGCAAAATCCTGTCTTTACTGAAAATATAAAAATTAGCTGGGTGTGGTGGTGGTCATCTATACTCAGGAAGCTACTCGGGAGGCTTAGGCAGGAGAACTTCTTGAACCCGGGAGGTGGAGGTTGCATTGAGCTGAGATTGTGCCACTGCACTTAAACCTGGGTGACAGAGGGAGGCTCCATCTCAAAAATAAATAAATAAATAAATAAATAAATAAATAAAGTGATGTATGTAGATCTAGCTCATTCCTTTAAACCACATCATAAATATACAATTTATTTATGCAATCTCTACTGATGTTTAGTTAGGCTGTTGCATTTGTGCCCGTGTGTGTGTGTGTGTGTGTGTGGTGTGTATGTATGTGAGATTAGGAAGAATTATGCAGTGAATACTCTGGAATGTGTCTCCTGTTATATATTGTTGAGTTTACCAAAGATTGCCAAAAATGTTGAACCAGGTAAGGCTAAAAGCTGTGTCCTCTTCAGGATGTCAATGAGCTCCCTTCATTATCCCAGAATGTCTAAAATGTCACAAACATACATCAAGAGGCAGAAGAAGGAGCTTATTTCTTCATTATGTATTTTTCCTATCAAGGCAAAAAGAAAAAAAGAAAACTTTCTGAATCCTTAGTGATGGCTATGAGCCTTACCTCAAAATATCTTGTTTTGTGAGATGATAATTTTTGTTTAAGGTGATTGGTTTTCTGTTATTTGGAGCCAAAATACACTCATCTTTTTCCCGTTAATATGTAATATACTAAGATCCCAAATAAAAGTGGTTTATTCCCAGTTTTTGGTTTGTTCTAGTTGTCAGTTTATCCATCACAGTGCTTTTAAATCATATATTCAGTTTTATGTTTTTATTCATGAGTATTTTAAGGATTTTAATGCCATTATGAATTGAATTTTTAAAATTTAATTTTCCAGTTTATTGTTGGCATGTAGGAATATATTGACTTGTGAATAGTGATCAGGGATCCAACACTTTGCATTTTGTGATGATACTTGTTTTCTTATTTCTGGTTGTTATTCATTGATTGTCCTGGGTCTTCTGTGTGGGCAAGAATATTATCTGTGAATAAAGTCAGTTTTGTTTCTTCGTTTCCACACTTGATACCAAGTGTCTTTCATAGTGCATTGACCAGGCATACTAGGCCCTTTTTCAGTAAGAGTCATGCTAACAGGCATCTTCATCTTATTCTTGACTTTAAAGAAAATATTCTAAAAAGATTTTGTTTTGTTTTTAATCAGACTGAGGAAGTTTCTTCCTAATCCTAGTTTGCTGTTTTTTTTTTTTTTTTAGTGATGTATTAGTGTTGCATTTTGTTTAATGCAGATTACTAATTTTTTAAATGACTATATAGTTTTTCTCCCTTAATCTGTTAATGTAGTGAATTGTGTTTATAACTTTTTTAATGCTAAATAATCTTCATTGCATTCCTGGGATTAATTCAACTTGTTCTCACACACACATACACTCACACATGTAAACATATGCACACACACACACACAAATTGCTGGATTTAGTTTACTAATATTTTCCATAGAAATTTGCATTTATGCTCATAGGTGAAATTAGGATTTTTTTTTCTTTCTTTTTTTGAGACAGATCTTGCTCTGTCACCCAGGTTGGAGTGCAGTGGCGTGATCTCAGTTGACTGCAACCTCCACCTCCCGGGTTCAAGTGATTTTTCCATGTCAACCTCCTGAATAGCTGGAATTACAGGTGTGTGCCACCACGTCTAGCTAATTTTTGTATGTAGAGATGGGATTTCGCCACGTTGGCCATGCTGGTCTCAAACTTCTGACCTCAAGTGATCTGTCTGCCTTGGCCTCCCAAAGTGTTGGGATTATAGGCATGAGCCACTGCACCTGGCCTATATTTTTTTCTTTATTGTTCTGCCATGGTCTTGTTTTCCAAAAAAGATTATAATAGTTTGGTAAAGTCGATTAGGGTGAGTTTTCTTTTTCTATTCTCTATTTGTTTAAAAAAGGAATTATCAGTTACTTAAAAGTAAAATATTTCCAAAAAATAACCTGGACCTATCGCTTTGTTGTTGATATTTATAGTTATAATACTAATAATATAAGTAATAATAATCAAGTGATTTAAAACTATAATTTCTTCAATTCTTTATTGCTTTGATTTATCTTCTGTCAGAGATGATTTTAAATTACTCACAATGATTGTGAATTTACCAATTATACCATTTTAAAACATATTTCTATCTCTATCACTGTCATTATGTCTGTCTTCATTAAAAACTACGAGCTCATATTGCTTTCATAGTTCTTTTTCTTCTTTTTCTGAGACAGGGTCTCACTCTGTCACCCAGATTGAGTGCAGTGGCATGATCACGACTCAGTGTAGCCTCGACATCCTGGACTCAAGTGATCCTCCCACCTCAGCCTCCTGAATACAGGAGTGCACTAGCACTCCTGGCTCATTTTTATTTTTTATTTTTTGTAGAAATGGGATCTTTCTATGTTGCCCAGGCTGGTCTCAAACTCCTAGACTCAAGTGCTCCTCCCACCTCAGCCTACCAAAATGTTGGGATTACAGGCGTGAGCCACTGCATCTGGTTTAATATCATAGCTCTAACCTAATAGCACATGGTTCATTCTAGTTTTCCCCCTTTCCATAGTTGTACCTCCCTTCTCTGACAGTGAGAAACTTATCTCCCATTATCCTCGACATATTTAATTACTTTATCAGTCCCCACCGTGTGTAACTAATCTTCCAGTAGAGCTGCTGCCCCGTGGCGTGGATGCCTCCTCACCTCACCTGGGCTCTCTCTTCCTGCTCCAGGTCATGGCCAAGCCCACACAGATGTTCTCTCTCACTTCATACAGAGGTACCCTTGTGGAAACCTCCCCATAGGGATGCTCTTCTACCTCTATTGAGCTCTGACATCTCTGTGCTGCCCCTACCTCTGCCTTCTTCATAGAGGCCCTCCTCAGGCCTCTCAGGTTCCAGCACCCCACACTAAGCCCACACTGTGGCTCCTAAGGCACAGATGCCCTCCTCATTCTGCAGGCTCTGACACTTTGTGCCAAGTCACTACCATTGCTACTGCCCTCTTTGGCCACCCTCACCTGCTTAGTGACCTACACTGCATCCTGGGATGTTGTTATCCCTCAACCTCCACCTGGATACCTTTCTCACCTGCTTTGGTTCTGACAACCCATGCAGGGCTGCTGCTGCATTCTCCCCTCTCCTCCAGCCTCCCCATCCCTTCGAGAGGTCCTCTTTACTCCACTTGGGTCCTGGTAGTCGTGTGGACACCATCCTTACCTTGCTCAGGTTCTGATCCCCTGCCATGGATCCTCACTTCCACCACCTTCCACCTGGATGCCCTTTCCATCCCCTTGGATTCCAACAACCCCTGCGAGACTCTCCCACCCCCATGCACTAATGCCCGCCTCACCTGGCTCTGGCTCTGACACCATGCCCTGGGCTACCATTGTCTCCCCTGTGGACACCCTCTTTATACTCATGGGCTCTGATAACCTGCCCGAAGCCACTATTGTGACCTCCTTCATTCCCCCTGCCCTACCGTATGGACAATCTCTTCACCCTGCTGCTGTCTATATCACATGTCCTCTAAAGTGAGCCCCACTACAAAATCTCATAAAATTGGTTCAAAACAAGGCTATGCAGAGATTTTCTCCTGAGAATGATAATCTTTCTAGATAAGCTTACTAAAGGTTTCTGAAGAAACTTGACATTAATTCTAAGCCGTTTTTTATTTGTAATTACTATTTGGAATCTTTTGTTCCATATTAGACTCTTAGACTATTAGATGTGATCATGGTAATTGGTGTGGTTCTTTCAACAACTGAAGAAAGAGTTGAAAGACTGAGGAACCCCAGGCATAGTGGTACACATCTGTAGTTTCAGGTACTTAGGAGGCTGA